GTCACTGTGTGCATTGAAATCACCTACTAATATTACACCGTCAAAAGATCCCGTTCGAATAACATCACATATAGTGTCACTTAAAAATTCTATATACTCATCAGTTTCGCCGTTTGAAAGACTCGGGATCGATAATTAACTGCAAAGAAAATATTTCCTATTTTAGGAAGTACAATTTCGAAAAACATAATTTCAAAACGGTTGTCTTCAACAGCAGAAAGGCTTTTTACTGTTAAATGGTCTTTATGATACAAGAGACATCCACCGCCTTCGCGATTACGATCTAACCGGTGTAGGGTATAGCCATTCATAGTAATGTCTTGATCTGTTATAGACGAGTCTAACCATGTCTCGGTGATAGCAACAAAAGCAGGGTCTGACTGGTCACACATTGCCTGAAGCAATTCAAATTTTGTCAAAGTAGAGTTAAAAAGTTTGGATTATGAAACAATAAAGGTATTTTTGTTTACAGTGATGTTCAGAATGTGTATAGATAACAAAGATTCCTCTTATTTTTAAAAAAACGTACTTTTTAAATGCAACTTATGTTTAAAGTAGAATATTATAATTATCTTAATCAAACATTTTTTATAGATACATTTAGATTACATATAGCATATTGACTACAGTACTAATTGTTTATTCAAATACTGAATGAGAATATTTGACAAACAAATATACCTTTTCTCTTTTCATAAAACAAAGCTGAAATATAATTTGTATGAATATTATGACCTTCATCAATGCTACCCAGAACTTCAAAATAACTGCAAGACAATAACAACTCCTCACTTTCTGAAGGAAAATGTGAATGAATTTTAATGATTTATCCATGGAGACCCCAAAACACCCTCAGGAGTGTGACCCGGTCACTTTTCAGTGCCTTTCTTATATGAAAATTTTCATCTTGGAGGAATCAGGACTCCAACCTGGATGAAGTGGCATGAACAGTTCCCTTAAAAAAAGAAATTTTTTTTCGACCCTCCAGACCTCTAGAGCGGGGTACAGGTGGTATTAGGTCGATCCTTCGGGTGACCCCCGTAAGAGTCCATGGGAAGTATGTGATACCAAAGAGGCGACTGTTTACCACTAGGTTCCAGTTCATTATCGATTTTGACCATATGGTTATAATCAGCGTTGCAAGCCCTATCGAGCTAGATGACCATTGTTCGATTGTACGAAAAAATATTTTTTCAAAATCCCTGTACCCCGCTCTAGGGGTCTGGAGGGTCGAAAAAAAATTTCTTTTTTTAAGGCAACTGTTCATGCCACTCCATCCAGGTTGGAGTCCTGATTCCTCCAAGATGAAAATTTTCATAAAAGAAAGGGAATGAAAAGTGACCCGGTCACTTCTTCTGAGGGTGTTTTACTGACCATTGACAGTGTGAGCCACTTTTCGCATCGAAGGCCAGCTTCTTTTGCAAAAATTTTATTACGATTTTGTAGAGGAGAAAACGTTACATCACATATATGAAATTCAGTTTGGAGTCTTGTAATATGACTACACAGCAGTTGACACACCGGAAAAAGTTATCATTTTTCCCCTTAAAAACGACAAATTTTGGCCTTATTTAGAGTATTGAGTCAATAAAATTGTACCAGTACACAATATAGGACACATGCATATTGGGTTTTGTTCAGTTTTTGACGCTCCACCTTTTTATATATTGCGTCAAAAGATTCGTTGATCTGCGGCCAAGTTTTAGAGTCTCAAGTTTTCAAGTGTAATTTCCGATAGTTTTTCATAAAAGTCGAGGAGTACTCAAGAGTCCGCGCGGCATAACTTTTCACCAACTCAACCAAATGCGCTAAAAATTTGAATTTAGAGGTTTTAGATGATGCTGATTCAGATGCGCATATCAAATTGAAAAAGTAAAATTTGGCGAGTGCCTCAGTTTCTGGCATGATACTTGATGGTCTCACGGAAGCTCTCTTAAGTACCGCTCAAGTGCTTTCAGATACTCTGGAAATTATTTGAGTCATAGCAGTAGTAGATCGCCTTTCGGAGCTACTGAAGTATTCTTAACTCGATATTTCCATCAGAAAGATACTTAATTACTATGAATTTTACTACATCGTAATAAGATTCTCTTCCAGACTGAAAAATGGCAACAGCGAATGAAGAACTAGTTGAGCTTGTCACAAAACAGGCCATGGATTTATTGGCCGAAATTCGAAAAGATGTCGAAGAAACAAAGGCGCTAACTGAGGAAGATCGCAAGAATTGTATGGCAATTTGTCACCGGGTTGAAACTGAACATACACGATTAAAGATTGAATTCCTCAACGAATCATTGATTTTGATTGATCAAGCATTGGAAACTTCGGATCAACAAAAACTTATACAAATCCACGAAGCATGGTCGCTGGTATTAAAGAATGTGACACACCAATGTAAAACTCTTGTCGGTCCATTGATGGAAGTATTACGAGTATTATCACGACAAGATAAGAATCTTGGACGAAAATACGCGGGTCTCCTTGCCGGTGCTGTTGTAAGTTCGATATTGTGTGGAGCAGCCGTTGTAGTGTTAATTGCACATGCTCACCCTGGTTGTTGTTTGCAATTGGCAACGGAGGCTGTACTTGCAGTTAGTGTTGGGGCACTGATAGCCATAGCAATTGCCCTTGGCTGTATTGCAGGATGCATATCAATAGCACGCCTACGTATAGTTTATCGAAAGTGTTCAGATTCTGTTCGATTGATTTTGGTTAAGTGGTTTCCACATTGTTTTGATGGTTCATCTAAAGATCCATCTGATTCAGAGTTGGCAAACGTGATAGAACAATCGATTAATACTCTGAATATAAAGCAAGATATATGGCGTAATCGTACGGCGCTTGAAATGCTGAAAAGATGGGCTAAAAACCAGCGTGATCATCAACCTATTTCGAACATGAACTCGGTTCCTAACAAGAATCTCTGATTGAATTTGCGAGCTAGAACAACCAGATGTCTAAAAGTTTGTCTTGCCAACGTAATATCAGCCTCGACCCAGCCGACTGGTTCAATAGAACTGCCTTCTGGACCTACAATATCGGCTCCAGAATAAGGAAAAACAACTTCAGTTCCTTTTAAAAGCCGTCAGTAGTCTAAACTAACAATACTAACACCAGCACCTGTATCTAAAGTAAAAATGCCTATGGTGCCATGTAATTTTCCTTTGGCGGTTGCACAACCTCTTTTGATGGTATAAAAAGAAGTTGAAGCATTAGAAGAAGTGGCATTCTCTTTTATTTTGCTTTCTAGTTTCAAAATCGTAGCAGCAAAGCCTTTAGAATCTGTTTTAAAGAGAGAATCCTTTCCAATTGTAGTTTTATCCTTCTTCTCTAGTTTTCTCTTTTCTTTCTTATAATTTTTGGTGTTTTTGGGTTTGAAATTATCTGATAAATTATAATTTTGATCAGATATTGTCATTTTTGGAGTTGATAGCGAAATAATCGTCTCATTAGATACAGATGACGAAGAAGAACAAGACTCCAATTGAGAAGAATTAGAGTTAGGTGATTTTTCTGTGGATAGATTGTCAATAAGTGTTAAACTAGTCTCAACTTTTGTTCAAAAGCCGCTGATTTAGGTGGTGACGGAGTTCCCGACGTCTCTAACAAAGAAGAAGAAAATGGCAACGATGCAAAATCGAGTATAGGTCGAGAAACCTTCTATACATCACGACCGGGCGTTAGAAACCGCGATAGCGATTTCAAGGCTTCGATTTTTCCCTGTTCTTTGGACTGTTCAATTGAGGACTTGTGAATAGTATGGGATGTCAGCTTATCCTCAATCAGCTGCTCCCTTTTTAGTTTAAATGATTAGAATTCTGTCGATTTTGTGAATCACCGCTGGAAAAAGTAGATGTGTAGATGACACTGAAGTACCGCTTTAGGCTAAACACCAGCAACATTTCGACGGTCTGTAGCCGAGTTCTACTTAAAACGAATAATCCAACATCAGAATCGTGTTCAGCATCGAAAACTGAGCCTATGTGTATATATCTCAGAACGTTCCTGTGACTTTTATTTTTCTCAAAAAATTCAGCCCGAGTTTCCCACAGGGATAGGTCAAAAAATAAACTCGATTGAAACGCCGTTTTCATTATTCATCTATCTGTTTTTTGATTTTTTCCAGCTTTTTGAGTAATCCAGCGGTTCTTTTTTGGTAGTCAGACTGACGTTTTTTTATCGAGTTAATTTTTTGACCTATCCCTGTGGGAAACTCGACTAGTTTAGACTACTGACGGCTTTTAAAAGGAACTGAAGTTGTTTTTCCTTATTCTGGAGCCGATATTGTAGGTCCAGAAGGCAGTTCTATTGAACCAGTCGGCTGGGTCGAGGCTCATATTACGTTGGCAAGACAAACTTTTAGACATCTGGTTGTTCTAGCTCGCAAATTCAATCAGAGAGTCTTGTTAAGAACCGATTTGATGTTCGAAATAGGTTTAGTCTTAGATGTACAAGATGGAAAATGCTGGTTGAGAGATAAACCGTTATCTAAATTTTTGCTAGCTACTGATCTTCAGCAGGCCGGTCGATTGGACATACCCGTTTACGCTGTTCATAAAAAAAAATTCCACCTTTTCATCAAGCTTTCATCACGGTACAAACACCGTTGGATATTAGCGGACAAAAGTGGGAAGCGACCACCACTTCTGCGAGCTCTCGAATTTCACTCGCCAACAGTATCGTTACTGTTGACAAGAATATCGCTCGTGTTATGGTTGCTAATCTGACACCGCGATGGAGTTATGTTCGACCTGGACAGAAACTCGCTTTCCTTGATCCTTTTTATTCTGATTGTAGTCTGCAAAAATCTGACGGATTACTTCAAAAACATCAGGAGACATGTACATTTATTACACAGGAATCACCGATGCCTGATCCAAAAGAAGGACAATCTATTTCCTCTGATGACTGTTCTAAAGACACTTCATCTACTACATGTGTTAACAGTCCAGAATTAGCAACACCATTATTTATAGCAGAGAGAAAATTTGACAATTACACTGAAAAGATTAGACGACGATTGCTAAGTCAAGATCCAATTACACCTCGGATTGAAGATAAGAAAACCAAGATTCGAGAAGATGCTAATGTTGGAGAAGGCGATTTCGGTTCGTCTTTGTCGCTTTTTGCTAATGATCAAAGTACAGTTGAGAGGCCAGACCCTTGACTGCCATCGTAGTTCGTTCTTTGGCTGAGAAAACCGATCTTGCGCGTATTTCGCCAGCCGATCCTCAATTCACCACCGGCCGAGAAGCAATTCGAGTCGTTCAAATTACAGGCGGTCCGGTCTTTTTCCGGATGCTTTTTTCGCGTATGCTCATATTTTTCTTCAATCAACGGCATGTCGTACAAAACTCAAATATACCATAATGAATCACGACCAACAGTTCATCAAATATACCCCGTCTAGCAACGTCAGAAAAAATGAATAAATTGTGCAACGATTGGCTGCTTCGGTGGACACAACGCCACTCTTGATGGACTCAGGTAGAACAAAACGAGCTCTGCAAGATCTGCACTTCACTTTTCTCTTTCCATCAAATCATTAATGAGAAAATCGCTACTTCCTTTCAGCAGTTTATATCCCTGATACAGCAAAGTGAGAAAAATTGAATAATTTGTGCAGCGATTCCCTGCTTCGGCGGACACAACGCCACCCTTGATGGACACAGGTAGAACCCAACGAGCTCTACAAAATCTACACTACATTTTTCTCTTTTCATCGAATCGTTAATGAGCAAATCCTAATTACTTTTAGCACTATATATCCCGTATAGAGCGAAGTGAGAAAAACTGAATAACTTGTGCAACGATTCCCTGCTTCGTTAGACACAACGCCACCCTAGATGGACACAGGTAGAACGCAGCCAGCTCTGCAAAATCTACGCTGCACTTTTCTCTTTTCATCAAATCGCTAAAAGAAAATCGCAAACAACTTTCAGCACTATAGAGCGATTGTTCCTAATTCGAACCACTTTTTAGCTAGTGAAAAGTTTTTGCTTTTTCCTTAAAATTTTCTTGGACAACGTATATTATTTTTTATACTACAAAGTAAAAAAGTCGTAAAAAAAAAAAAAGAAAAAGCTATGTAGGCCATATTGTCGCTATTGTATTATTCTTGCTTTTAGATACTCGGCAGAGACTTCAGAATAACGAAAATATATGACCGGTCAACCAGCCGGATCAGAAACTTTTAGACCGGTTACAGAACCGGTCGAGAAAATCTTGACCGGTTACATCTATGCTATGTAGGCCATATTGTCGCTGTTTAACAAATACAGATCGGCTACTCCAGTTTAAAGACTGTATTAGATAATCAAGTCTAAATATATATGCAGCTTATTCTAGGTTCTTCGATCACTCCCTCTACTTTATTATTTACCCTATAAGATGAGAAAATCATTTGAAAAAGTCTTTGTTAAAAACTCTGGGCAAAACTTCATTGGTTAAGGCTCAACCGCTATGAGATTGTAGTTTATTCTCTGATGAATAACTTTTGTTCCAAGGTTATAGTCCGATTCCGAACTTCGGGTAGCAAGAAGACTCTGTTTTCTGACTAGGACTCGTTTTTCTAGCCATTTTGCGTGTATTGGTTCGAATTAGGAACAAAAAATTGCTTGTGGTTCGAATTAGGAACAGTGCTCCTAATTCGAACCAGAGACATGTCTAAAGTTAATTTAATATCTCTGCATAGAAATGGAATTAAAGGCTGAACCGCTGTAATTATACTCGGTTTGATGTGGCGAACATTTTTTGTTCCAAGAGTATATCGAAAATCTGACATTCGGGTAGCAGGAGCCAGCAGTTTTCTGAAATTTTGTCGTTTTTTGCTTGTTCTGCGCTGGCTGGTTCGAATTAGGAACATATATTTCATGTGTGGTTCGAATTAGGAACAGTGCTCCTAATTCGAACCAGACAACTTATCATCAAACTACCGGTTAGAACTCACTTAGTTTTGATGATAACTAGATAATTTTTATACCATTGAACTCGCGAGACGATTTTATACTTTGTAGTATAAAAAATAATATACGTTGTCCAAGAAAATTTTAAGGAAAAAGTAAAAACTTTTCACTAGCTAAAAAGTGGTTCAAAGTAGGAACAATCGCTCTACGTCTTATTTGCATGAAGCCTATTGTTTTTCTCTATCTATGACCCATTTTTGCGAAACGATTTCATAGATTTTCTTTTGCTTGTAATGCAAAAATGAGTCATCGATAGAGAAAAAACAATGAGAATGAGAATAGAATGAATGAGAATCAATCATATTCTTTTTAACTCCTAGAGCTCTAATTATTTTTACCACTTTTATTTTAAAAATCTACTATAGTATAGCCTCTCATTCTCATCCTCAAAAAAAGTTACGTTCTCACGTGAGGTACAAAAGCAGAAACATGCTGTTCTTCTTGTTTCTGAATGACAATCCTCTTATTAAATGCTGGCGTCTGACACTGAATTGTCGTTGTCATCATAGTTCGTTCTATGAATTGTTGTTATTGATGTCGAAGAAGAGGACGATGTGCTATAACTACAGTAACTACTGTCTGTCAAAAGAAATTAGGCACGTAACATCAAATAAAGATAGATACTTACGGTTTTCACCATTGAATTCGATAGCCAAAACTTGAGGCTATCTTTTAAGAAGCAAAACCAATTTTCTGTAAAATTTTCGAAGGCGGTTTTCCAGAGGATCTTTCGAAAACTATTTTAGATTTTTTTCAAATAGGAATCCAGTGATGTTTTGGGGGACATATATAGTCTGAAGTGTCTTCTACAAAACTGGATCTAGACGACATCTTGAAAACCCATGATTCGGGAGCTATGGACCTTTTCCCTGAAGCCTTCACACTTTTCTACCGTTAGGCTTGGAACTGTCAGAAATGAATGAAAACATAGGTTATCGATTATGCTGAATCCCGTGGCAATGTTAGTTTTCAGAACAAAATGCAGCAACCGAGTGAAAACCTATACTAGGTAAAATAACATATTTTTGATTATTTTCATTAAAAATTGAAAAACTCATAACTCAGTCAAAATCCATCCAACCTATTGCAGAATGTCAGAAAATACTCTATTTTATCTGCAACATACCGTAAAGCTCAATAAAATGTTGAAAAAACCAACAGAAAATACTGTGGTTTCTCGAAAGATTTTCCAGAAACCTTTGGAACAAAAAGAATATTTTTTGCTATAATTTTGCCACAAACCTTTTTTTCTGCTACGAACGAAGATTTTACTAAAAGTAAAACAAAAGGGAAATTTTGATTTCTTCGCCTTGGCACAGAAACAAAATGGAACTATATGACCTTCTCTGTTTGGAGATAACAGAAGAATTATTTTGCTTTAAGATAAACCAGATGCGACATCATAATGTGTGGTTTTGACCAATCATATAAATTTTCCAAAGTGTTCCAAAACTGCAGTTAGAAAATGATGATTTGGGGCAAAATCGCTAAAAGAAAAAAGCTTCTAGTGTGACCGCTTGAGCCTATGAAGAGTCTTAAATATATCCGGTTGATAAACCTTTTCGAGAACTACAAAACAGCCATTTTCTCTTTCTTTTATATCGCAAAATGTAACGGGCTGAAATTGAAAAATCTGTTTTGGGGGTTTGAAATTAATCGATATTGAAGCTTTCCCATATTTCCTTTATATCTTTTTATTCTTATAGTATGTATATAAAGAAATGTTCAATATCTTTTGTGTAGAAAATTGGATGAGGAATCTTTTTAAAAAAGATTGAGACTTGACGATCAATCTTGAGAAAATATTGAATGGGACATTTATTCTGGGTCACTCGTTACTCTCGAATTAATGTTATATTAATTCGTCAAGTTGACGGATTATGCGTTAAATTCATGATGAGGGAGAAAAAGATAGAAAACTAAATTCGCGCTAAAATAGAAAATTTATTCTTTTTCATTTCACTATTATGAAAAAATATAAATCTCTTATAAGATAACTATAAAAGTTCGATAAGACAGCTTATAAAATTGTTTTAGAATTCACATTTTTATGAAAAATTTTTTTCTCCAGACTAGAACACTTAACCATATGCAAATTTGAAGTTGGCGCAGTATATCAACATTTATGGCAGCAGTCTGGAAGAAGAAATATCGGTACGTATCAGGGCTCGAACCAGGCCAGGCTACAAACTTTCGGCCTGCACCAGGCTAAGGCAGACCAGGCCTAAACTGAAATAGATTCAGGCAGATCTTTGAAAACACCAGGCGGCCTAGCCTGGTTATTAATGAAGGCCGTGCATCACTAAATCCTGACACGGTTGAGGATATCTTGTTAGTTCGATCAGTTCAGAAAATACTTGAACAAAAACCAAATTTTTTTACTCAGATATATTGTTTAATTATCTCTCACTTTTCTTTTCATCTTATATTACTATTATTTGTGTATTTTGATTATTAAAAAAATGACCAGGCTTCTACAGACCAGGCCAGGGTAGGCCGAGAACAATAGCAGGCAGACAGACAAGGCCCAGGAAATATATCAACAGGCCCAGGCAGCTCCAAACATTACAGGCCTGACGCAGGCAGACCAGGCCTCAAAAGTGTCGGCCTGTTTCGAGCCCTGGTACGTATTACGACTTTTCTACTTTCGTCTACTGTTATGTCTAATGTCCAAAAGATCTGTAACGTTTTACATCAGATTGGCTGTCTAATTTAGAGCCATCAATGCATTGGTGATTTAAGCGTCATATTATCAGCTAAAACTACGAATTTTCTATTCAGAGAATGAATAGCAAAACCTTGGTTCAAACCTTTCACTGCAGCTAAGGACATTGCTTTAGCTTCTTTCTCACTCAGCATGGTTCAGCTTTATGACGAAAACAGTTTGGAATTGGATTAGCTTTTCCAACAATGGAAGGACTGGACACTCATCATTAGAATACTGATCCCTCCTTCCTCGCCAAATTGCTGTGTACTGTAAATATGTTTCGTGTTCTCGAATAAAAGTCCAGGTAAAACGTGATGGCTATATGTCAATATGAGACATAATATTCAAAGAAATAGTTGAGTATTTAAACCTTGCCAATCTTACTAATCCATATTTGTATTCGACAAAACGAAAAAAACAGTACATTGTATAATAAATTCAAAAGAAACGAAAAACTGACAAGAAAATTTCATTTGACAACAGCATAAAAAAATTACATAGGACAAAGAAAGCAAGGAAAATAAAGGAAATAGTCATCTATTGCAGCAAAATTCAAAACTAAGAAAAAAATAATACATCGACTTCATCGTTGATATCGAAGACGAACCATGTGACGTGTTTACAAGTTATAGTAGTCTTGCACTATGCCGATAGCCAACTTTTCATCTCTTATTCATTATACGAGATCGAATACTAACTGCATATTCACCTCCTAACCTTTACTCTACGATGTACAGTTCGGCTAAAAAAACTTACGCAAAATCATCAAATATGAAGATGAAAATAACAAAATACTCCCTGCACAATCACTAGGATGCGATAGCCTACGTATCACACGAACAGACAAATAGGTTAGTAGAACAATAAAAAATATTTGCATCGTTTTTAAAAAAATTTTTTCTTTAAAAAAAAACAACGACAGCATATTCAATCTACTCGTTTTTGTTATAATATTTATATATAAAAGAGATCATTTTGTATCTGTTATGTGTTGAACATAAAAAGTGATAGAAAGTAGAATCTGCACACAATATATGACGAAGGATAGGGTAAAAATTCGAATCGCACAACAAAAAGCGCATTCTAATACTAATTTTCATACTCTATCACATATAAACCCAACTGATACTACAAGACTACCGCCGCACAAGCACTACATGTTAAGAGAGTATTACCTGTAATCTGCTAACGGGGAGAACGGTAGAGTAGAAACTAGCCAAGATCTATAGTTTTTAAACTTCAACTACTTTCTCTTTACAATAGTTAGAATGAACTAGCATAAAAGTACCATTACAACAAGCATAATTTTTCGAAATAATAGTAAAGTAATACAAACATAAAAATTGCACAAAACTTGGGTGATAGCTGAGTATATTTCGAGAAAAAAGAATGTCGAACAACACAATAAAATAGGTGCTAACTTTGATATCCAACTGTCTACAAAAGAAGAATAACTATGAATTAGAAGGAAAATTTGATTTAATAAAATCATACATATAGTAATAATTCAAAAAGAAAATGCTCAAAATAAATAAACAAATACACACACGTACCACAATGTCAAATATATAGATAGATAGACTGAGATATGCAATAAAAGAAAGGACGAAAACACTCTAAAAATATTACTGTTAATAAATACGAGAGTGAGAATGTGTAATAGGCAGAAGAAAAAAGATAGATATCAGACACACTTCGTGATGAACAAAGTCTTTCTTTCTCTTCTGAGATGAATATAATTTGAATTGAAAAAAAGAGAAAGATATCTGCAACTAAAAGACTGTGAGGTAATGATCTTGATATGTCTCTTCTTTTTTCTTCTAAAACACACGAACAATACATTTAACCAGACATATCAAATTTTCGATTCTATTTCAACCATTCTACAGGTGGTTTAGGTAAAACATCGACAGGAGGTGGCGGCGAAGATTGACCAGAAAGAACAAACACGTCAGGAATACACGATGAACTTGATCGTTTTTGCGATTTATCTAAAATACAACATGTTTTTCTTTATTCCTTTCCTAGTAGACTTATACTCCAAAAACTATCCTATAATTTTTGCCAAAACTAGACGTTAACTTTTTTTAAGTAACATTTACATCTCAAAATAACTATAGTTTTCAACATTACCAGATTGAAGATCTGAAGAGAAAATATCCTCAAGAAATCTGATTGCTCCTGGATCTTCTAGTATAAAATTGTAGTATTCTCCGGATCCTTCGTTTAACGTTAATCAATTTTACCTGACGATGAAGAACACAATGAGGAACATGACAACGGAAACTTGAAAATTTTTTTATCTGTCGATTTTTCTTGTTCGTAACACATTTGTTTCATACGTCTATTGTAATATTGATGCTGTTGGTAGTAATAATAATAGTAGGATGAGTTATTATTATTTTGAGAAAAATGATTTGTTGGTGGATATAGCGTTTTGCGTGACGTATACGTTTGATAATACATGATGAACGTAGTGGTCTTTTTTTTTTTAATTTGTAGGAATTAATTAATTACAGGAAAAACATTTTTATAATTCAATTTTTCTAAAATGTAGTAAAACTAAACTAAGAGAGGAAAAAATTTTCTTACAAGACAAAAAAACAGAAACAAAAAATTTTCATTACTAAACTGGTACCTTGGAAACGAAAGAAGGAGACGATTATTATGTTACTACAATTAGTCACAGTAAATCATATAAGCGATTTTTTCAGTTCAGACGTCTCCAATTATATACGTTCTTAATTAGAGTCGTACACAAGTTCAACAAGAGCAATATCAATTGATCTCTGTAATAAAAGGATCAAATGTAATCAACGCATTCTTTTGATTAAATTATCGCAACGAAAAATTGAACTCTGCAAGAAAGGAAAGCGCGTTCTAATTGATAAAATGTTTCATCTAATTTCTTAGTTATATAACTGTGTTTGCCTAAATTAACTTTATTTTATAAAATTCTGAATATAGACTGTAGAAAAGTTATTGAGAAACAGGTTTCGGTTGATCATTGAAGAAATGCATACAATTACTTCATAATTTAATAAAACAATGTCAAACTTTAGAAGACAAAAGCTAATATTTATTGTTCATATTATTCATGAAATCTTTAGTCTCACTAAAAAACATGCCATAATCCATCTGAATTTTTCTTCGCATCTTCCTCAAGGATCAAAAACATACTCAACATATTTGCTTGAAAAAGAAAAGTCTATTTCAAATATTAATTTGGAAATAAGATAAAATGAGTCATATTTTCTTTTATGGTTTATTTTAAGAGTACAGAAAAACATTTGATAAAACATAAAAAATACGTGATCACAATGGACGTTCAGACACTCTGATGTGGAAGAAGTGATCAATGTTTTCTGTTTCATCTTTTTTTCATACACAAGTTAAAACTATATACAAGTAAACCATTTCATTTCACAAACAATAAAATTTAATTACAAAACGAACAATATCTCGGTCTAGCATAAAAAGAAAATACATTACTTAAAAGAAAATGAGAGTCCCTTTCATATACAAAAACAGAGTAAGACACACGCACGTAAAAACAAATATCAGATTTTATAAAAAGAAAGAGGACAGTTAAACAGTCTCATAGGAAATCCCAGAGTTGAATTAAATATCACCGTAAAATGTTTTACTTAGCAAAGAGTTAACATGAGTACTATTTTCATAGCACCACATTATCGGAGTATGTCTACATGGTCATCATTTCATTCACTATTGATGATGTTGAACCCAATGACGGTATTGTTTGAGTTATTCTTGATTGAGTTAGTAATACATTGAATGCTATTTGATCGCCACCAACTACATTTGAATCACAATTATTATTATTTTGATCATTTGAACTTATTTGATTTAATTTTAATGTATCTTGAATATCTTTACGAAATAATGATATATTTTGTGTAAAATGTTCTTTATTCATCGATGATAATGTTCGATCAATACCATTCATCAATTTTTCTAGAGCTGTTGATAATGCCTGCTGTTTTTGTATTGGATGACCGTATAGTAATTGTTTCTTTATTTCATTAAAAAAATGATTTTCATTTAGCAATATTAAACCTAGAATAAAATGAATGTATAACACACGATACAAAACGTCAAGTATTCCAGAAAAGTTTTTCATGATTTTCTTTCATCCAGCTGTACGCTTAATTGCACTCTTTTGGCTCTATAAGAAATAAATATCGATCACTACTTTAAGATTTTAAATTTATCAACGTATAGAGTAGAAGTCCTACTCGATGCAATTGTTTTATCGCACCACACATCTATTTCAAACACTACACCCTTTTGTACTTCGTTGCAAAAAAAGTTACTGAATTACGATAAGTACTTTTCGGGCACTTGCTTTGAAACTAAATTTTTCTTCTCTAAAGTACAAAAGGCGTGGTGCTTGAAATAGATGTGTGGTGCGAAAAAACAACTGCATCGAGTAGAATTCCTACTCTATACGTTGTAGAATCGGAATACTAAAGTGCTCATCCATCTCTATTTTTTATAAGATGGAAACTAAGTAAGAAGAAGAATTAAGTTTTTATTCAATTTAAAGTTATTTATCCATCAATCTCACCTAATAATGGTTTGGATATTGAATACATATTTTTGCATTCATCATAGATAATACTATTTAAAATATTTATTAATATTTGACGAAATAATTGTTCATATTCATTAATATTTGCTAAAAATCTTTCACTATTTTGATTTTGATCTATTTTAATTGGTATCATTTGATTATATTGATTTGTTACGTAGACTTGATCCATCATTGGTGGTAATGTTTGTGATTGTTGTTGTTTTCGCTGTTGTTGATGAAAAGATGCAAATACATAGGTAAAAAATGAATCTAAATAAATACAACATGAATTTTGTATAGTTTGTTCAAATGATAAAAGTCCTTCACTAATTGTATTTAAAATATAACCAAATAATTGTGAATTTAAATTTGATAAATATTCAATGTTTATAACAGCTAATGTTTCTATTAATAAATAATAGGCTAATGTTAATTTTGGATATAATAATAGATCATCTTGTTTTAACATTAATAACATGGATAAAAATAAATTTAAAATATTTTCAAAAGATGAATCAGAATATAAATGAAATACACCAAAATTAAGATAATTTCCTAGAGAAGAAAAAAAAATATATATTAATTTAAATTCTAATAAAAAATAATTTTTGTTTTTCTTTACTATATAATAATAGTTTAATAGTTTAAATTATACCTGATAAACATGCTTGTATAATTCTAAAACATATCATAATTGATTTTAATTTTTTTTCAAAAAAATATTGATCATTATTTTGTAATATTTGATGATAATAACTCAATGATTTTGTTTGATAAATATGTAATAATTGAGATGTTTCACGAAATAATAAATAAGCATTTGGTTTTGTACATTCAAATATTAAACGTTCTTGACGATTTAAAACAAGTTCATGAAAAAATTTTAATACAGGATTATAAACTTCATATGCATCATAAAAATAATAGATAGATTTTATAAATAAATGAATATATTTTGGATAGAGCCAGTCAAATAAAAATATATACGATTGTTTTGATGTAAATGCTAAACACAAACCACGTAGATCACGAACAAGACCAATTATAATCGCTTTTATTTCATCGATAGTGGCTAATGATGATTTTAAAGTCGAAGATTGATGTGAACTAGAAAAGTGAATGTTAAAATTTAGATATTAATTATCAAATTTTTAGAAAAATTTATTCAAAATTTCTTTTTACACTTGATAAAGATGAAAAATTTACCTGGATGCATTTAATATTGGTGGTGTTGTAGATAACAATGGCATATTATTCGTTGTCTGAATCATATCAGGAAATTCTTTAAATATTTGTATTAATTTTTGACATTGTAATGTAAATGGTAACATAAATTTTTCAAATCGTTCATTATCTTCTTCTTGAAAATTAAATTCAAGCATTAATAATCGACTAATAGCTGAATAAAATGTTGTTCGTAAACGTGACCATGTTGTATATTTCATAAATGATGTTGATGATGTTTTTAATTTATTTCGATAGCCAAGATATTTTGATGATTTAAAATTTGTTATTGTACCATGATTAATTGTATCATCTGTTAAATTTTGATTAATATTATTATTATTTTCATTCATTATTTTATTTTCACCCGTTTGTAAATGATAATAAGCATATAAATTTAAAAATGGAAAATAATCTTGATTATGATTATTAATAAAATATTGAATTGGTTCTAATTTAATAAGTTTTCTTACACTATTGTAACCTTGACTTAAATCATTAAAACAAACTAATGTACGTTCAATCAATTTTTCTGTTATTGTACTATATTGTAAATTTGTAAATAATTTTTTGACAAAAATTGACAATAATTGTTCTTCATCACTAATACCTATAATATGAACAAAAAAAATAAAAAATAAAATAAAAAACATTGAAAATAGTTTTAAACATAAAATAGTACTCTCTTCTTTATCTATACGTTAAACTAGATTTATTCACAACTGATTCTTTATAAAAGTACTAATCTTACTCATATGTATTCGAAATTCTGATAGGTTATCAAATGAAAAACGTTTTTCTTTCTTTCTATTACCAAAACGTACCTAAATGTTTGAATAATATTTGATATATTTGATTTGATTTTGAATGATCACTAAAATATTGTCGACGAAATTGTTCAAAAAAATAGAGTATTGCTAATTCCAAACGTTCAGAGTAAGGTAATGATGATGATGATGCTGATGGTAAAAATAATTGTTCATTTTTTTTATTATTATTATTTAATAAATTTATTAATTCTACAGATGAATTTGTTATTGATGTTTGTTGTTGAATAAATGTCATTAATTGTAATGTTCGTATTGTTAATTCACCATCATATAAATCTTGTTCATCACTTTGTAATGATAGAGATGTTAGAGTGATTCCTCGTGCACCAATAACATATGAAATAACATAAATTAAAAATGTAAAACGTCTTTCAATTCCTTGAAATGTTTGTTTTATACTGTTCTGTTGTTGTTGTTGTTGAGATGATAATGATATATATTGTTGTAAAATAAGTTGATATTGTTGAGCTAAATCATCAAATATTGAACATAATAATGTACATGTTTTTTTATAATCGATACGAGACATAATACTAATTTGTTCTAATTGTTGATTTAATTGAGCTTGATCATTATCAAATAGTTCAACATATAATTCATTTGAATCACTTAAATCATCATCATTTATTGAATTTAAATGTGATAAACCTTCTAAACGAGATTGAATATAATAATTAACAATTTCTGGTACATAAATATCTAATAAATGTTGATAATCATTTGTTAATTTTGTACTATGAGATAAATAGGATATAATTTTAGACCAAAATGATAGAATATAATAGAGTGTATTTGATGATATTTTTTTATAAATATTTAACAAATGATCAATTGTAAATTTTGTTAATAATTCAATAAATTGTGGATACATATCAATTTTTATTAATTCATGTAATTGAATATTAGATCTTAGTCGACAGATCAAACGACAAAATTCATGTAACGCTTTATCATCTGATATAATACCGGTTGGTTGTTCAAGAATCGAACGAATGCCCGAAAGAAAACAAGAAAAAAAGCAATAATATCGTATGTAGAAACTATGAGTTAATACAAAATTATTGAAAAGGTTTATGGCTACATCCTTATAAAAGCACGGCAACAAAAAAAAACAAAAAATGACTTTATTTCAGCATGTGAGAAAAGTTCACTTGAATAAAAATGAGTTTTTTAAATTTTTAAGTAAGTTGGATCGATTCTGAGTATAGTCATTTGTTTGTTTTGCAGATAAATCCAATAAAAGTGCTGATTTTCTATTAAAAAACAAACATACTGACAAGAATCATAATGACTAATTTTTCGAGGTTAGTCTAATGAGCCTATATCCGATTTGAAGCCTAATGCTATCTGAGAACGTTGATAGATGACGACATCGAGTTTATGTGAATGTATAGAAGACAACTTGATACTTCGAACTGATCTACTAAAAATATAAATTCATTACTTCTTTTTGAACTGTTGGCAAGATGGAATCTAGCCGTTATAATGTATCGCTATTATACCGCGTTGTTTGCGCAAATTCCAGCGAAAACTGACTCCGCTGAGAACTGATAGTTTCTGAATGGCCATCTACTATTTCAAAGAGTAAAGAGGTACATCATCTGAAGGTAGTGCTTTTGAACTTAATTTCCCATATGCACTTAGCTATTGACTAAACATTAACAAAAAACGCTAATCTTCAAAAATATCCACTATATTTTGAGATAGGTAGTAGTTTCAACAGAGAATTTTTGCGATATGAAATACATACCATGAGTTAAATAGTTTAAGACAATCAGTCTTTCGTTTGTGTTTAATAATGAACGTCGTACACTGGACATTTGAATGAGGCATCCTAATGCAATTGATACTAATGTCGTTTGTGAAAAATAAAAATAATAAGAAAAATACAGTTCATAATACGAAACATCAACCATATAATCATGCCAACTTAGGGGTAACTGCAACGTTTGACATTCATCTGATGTATCAATATCGTTCATGGATGAACCGGTGCCTTCAAAAAAAAGTTCGAATATAAAATGTTAACCCATTTTAGATTAAAATATTCTATTTCACGGCTAAAAAGTTATCCTGCAGCTTGGCCAGCTGATTCTGCTGCCGGAAAAAACGAATTTACATTTTACTTCATTTTGTTTCTCTTATAATTTTCGAACGATGTGTTAACTAGATATTTGTATTTTTATCATATTATCGGAAAGAAAGATTGTCTGCGGGTACATTTTAAAGGCTTCAGCCCACTTTTCTCTTTGATCTGAGGCGTCTCAGAGCTCTGAGCATCTTGCCGTTCGAAAGTTATTAGAAAAACAAAATGCAAAAAACAAACGTAACGGAATTTCACTCCACTAGCGTAGTTAGTTGACCAGGACGCCTCCTGGTTCCATCCAAATAACATAGAGCACTGCAATCATACCTTTAGACATGAATTGAACTCTTGAAAGCAGGAATAATACCCTGTCTTTGTATCAAGATAATTTGCCTTGAACTCACCGAGAAAATCGTATGTTAAACATTGATGAGCCAGTAAAAGTAATCGTTCAATGACAAGATAATAATCGGGTTGCAACTGAATTGTTCTGAGTGTCTTTGGATACGTAATTATGGTTGTTGTTAATGATGTTGGAGTGACAGGAGTTGCTATTGTTAAGGATGTTGCTTGTGGGAAAATTGTTGATGAAGAAGTTGATGATGATGAATTTGTTTGTTTATCAATAACTTCTCTTAAATATTTGAATGCAAATAAATAGATATCAAGTAATTTGGAATCTCGAAATGATGTACATATTTTACGATGTTTACTAAATCCTCTTGCTGTTGTTTCTTCATCATTTGGAGTAATAATTTCATTAATTAATGAGATTAATATTTGTATGGCAATGGCAAAATGTTGAAGATCTTGTTGAAATTTTAACAGGTCATTTGTGAACGACTGGAATGGATAGAATGAATTATCGTCTGGTGTGTTTGTATCAAACCATGAATTTTTTGTTATTCGAGCATACAATTTTGTCAATTCATTCAAAACATACGGTATTAATTGTACATTACGTTTATACAAATATTCAAGAATATAGGAACGTAACTCTAAACGATCATTGACATTGATTAAGGATTGATTTGTTGATTTATTAAAATATTTAACTAATGTTGTTGTAGCAAAAAACTGTGTATATGGTGTTAGAGAACGATCTAATAGCAGACGACATTGTATCAAACAATCTTGTTGTACGACAAATGTTTCTAAACGTTGACTAGCTTGACGAATTTCATTGCTGTTATTGCTACCACCGTACAATTGAGAACATAAACGTTCAACTTCAAATGCATCCATGCTCCCTTTCAATCGATAACAAAAAATACTATCATGGTAATCTAGAAAACATAGTAAACAAACTGAAGTAAATTCAAAGAAAAATATGTTTCAAATGTGAGACCAACCGAAAATTGCTTAAAATAAAACCGGGCGAGTGAACAGCACGATGTCCCAGTGAATGTACATGTATACTAATTAGATAAGTGCTTAGATCAGTAATATCCAGAGTACTTGATCATTTTGCAAGCAAAAAGAGTACCTGCCAAGTGAATTTAAGAAGTACAAATACTTAAGGAAGTGTACAAGTAATACAAATACAACTGTAAAGTATTCAAGCAAATGCTTGTCGAGCACTGATTAATAAAAATACTTTCCAAGTACCTGGCTAAGGACTTTTCGATTTGCGAGTATCCAATCTCCAGTATATTCGTTACAGTACGATTCGCTATAATATGATGTTCTCTGAACATCTGTCTAAAGTAGCGAAACTTATGACTTTTCTTCTTTCCTAAAATTCTTTATAAATGAATATTGTTCGTTACAAAAAGATTGTAATACAACACGACAATTTAACCGAGATCCTGATAGGAAATTTGGAAATAAAATAGTTCAGTTTGATCAGTAGAATGTATCTACTCTTTACAGAACTGGCCGCTCAAATTGGTGAAGTGTGGCGTGAACAAGCATTTAAAATTCTTGTAGAAGGTCATGTGCAGTTTACCTGTTAAAAGCGCTACTTTTTGTAAAAATTAGACAGTCAAAATTCATTTATTGACAAGAATACATACGTTTTATGGTCCAAAGTTTTAGACTTTTATCTGGCAAACCAATATCAGGTATCAAATTTCCCACACCCGTGAAACGAAACGCATTGATTAACCTAGAAAAGCCCTATTACTAAACAATTAGTTCGTTATCTTCTCGAGTTAAATTAGTACCACACATATTTTTCTTCTGCATAGCAAATTAAAATAGAACTATTATGCCTGTTGATTTGCTGATCCTGTACTATCAATATAGTTTGTGACCTAGACCTAACCTGGTCTGTGGTGCAAGGCAAGATAAGTTTGAGTTGCACATATTTATTTGAGAGTACTCCAAACAAATGTTACTCAAGAAATGAAAATTTGTTCTCTTTTTCTATTTTCTCAGAATAACTACTGAAAGAAAACATAGCGAGCATAGAATTTGGCTAAAACACTTTTACAAGTACTTGTATATGTCAAGTACTTTTATTATGTTAAACTGGAGACCTGGTAAGATACTTCGCCATTTTTGACAGGCGACAGTTTGTTAAAGTCATCATCATTTGATAGGACGATCTGCAATATGACAGTTAAATAAATCTACTAATAGTTTCAAAACTCTAATACAAGAGCTCGTAGCGAAACTAGAAAGTTTTATTTATTATTTGACTTCTGAAGTTTTTTCAAGAAAAATGTCATACACTTGAAAAGTGAAACATTGAGAAGACAACTGATACACGATGATGAAAATATAACGACTAATCAGAATATCGCTGAAATTTGGTAGTTAAAAAGCTTGTATTGTATAAAAATCAAACATAGTGTATAAGAAAAAAAAACTAACGATAAATCTGACAATGCCACTGCACAACTGTGCCGAGGATATGGAAAACATTTCACAGCACGTTTTTATCTTGTTATTACTATGATTTTATCACTGCATTGTCGTACATTACTGTGCTAGAGTAGAAAAAATTTTATTTTCAGTGTGAGTCATCGTCGGGACAATCTATATCATTCACTTATTGTCAGATAATCAAGAGAATAAACATTAGTTTTTAAACATTTTATTAATGCTTTGAGACATTTTCGTAGCTGAAGTATATCCTCTTTCGTCACTTTCAGTATGCGATAAACGTCGTCTGACTTTTGCGCCCTTTATCAATCGCTTTCACTTGCCAAGACGTCCAAGGTTGATGTTTGAACTTTCTCTCACTTAAAATTCGAGAAAAATTAAAGGAAACTTAAGAGCAGCACAGTACACCGAAGCTAAGAAGTAGCCTCTTAAGTTTAGTGATTATCATTCGAGAAAAGATATTCCTGGATATTGATGACACTTGAAGCACACTTGAATTATCCTAAAATCTTTGCTCCCTTTTGTTTTCATTAAAATCTGTTATTTTTTGCAAAATAATCAGAAACAAGCTGAATGTTTGTCATTTCTGATTTATGACTTTAACGGAAAATTTAGAGATTCCTCCAGTTATGAGTAATTTACATTGAAACCGATAGGTTGGTTTGTTTTTGTGCAAAAATAAACACAATTTGACTTATTTGTTGTTTTTTCAAAAAACAACAATTTGAGATTTCGGATTTTTTTGTACTATATACGTCACGGGAAAAGCATGACACTACGGCACTTTTACTATGTAGCAGAAAATAAAGTGATTACTCTACTTGTATCCCAAAATCCATGCCACACGCTTTCTTTTTATTTAAGTGTAATATTTTTATTGCAAGAGTGTATCTTTATTATCTTATTGCAGATTAAATTACATATAAATTGAGCATTCATTTCAGCAGTTTTTTTTTATTGTTGAGAACCATAATTCTAAATTATTACAGACTTTGTCTTTTTTTGAATTATAACGTCAGTACTTTGAAATCGTCCCTCTTTTCAGCTTACTTAATGTTTGTAACCTTGTCTTTATTTTATTGGACATTTATCTTGTGAAGGTTCTTGAGTACCATAGTATTTGAAGGACATTAACTGTTAAAGCAGTTGCTAATCGTTTTTTCAATTATTTCAGGCAGACTTATGACTTTACCATAGTGTCATAAAAAAGAATTAGTGTTACATGTTTTTTGTATTAAAAGAATGACATTATATTTAAATAAAATTTTGAAGACATTATTATCACCATCAGTTATAATTCGGCCATCTGTCGTCTTTTATGGTTCGAAATCAAAACAACCTCATCCTTGGAAATGGGCACCAGATGATGTTATACAAACCGAAGATTATAAACACGAGTTTGGAATCCCAGATGAATGGCATAAATACAACCGAATTGTTTATCCACCTCAACTACCCGGTGAACCAGAAAGAAAAGGAGTAAATCTAAATTGGAGTCTTTTAATTGAAACATACATTTTTCAGTTTTATTCTTTCTTTTAGTTTGTTCATCATGCACGAACATATATCCGTGGTGGAATAAAAAAATATTGGTTTCTAGCTCAAATGGTAAGTCCATCTGTGATTGTTTTAGAATTCTGTTATTTAATTAATGTGTATTTATTGTAGGTTCGTGGAATGAGTATCGATGAAGCTATTAAACAACTTTCATTTCATGCATTACCAACAGCACTCAAAATGCGAGATGTAAGTTTTTTGACGGAGAATATATTTAATTTGACAAATTTTCTACTAGTTGACTAGGCAAAAGTAAAGGACTCGATTTGTTCTGTATTCCACTGAAATAAAAAAGTTTATATAAAAAAAAAAAGTAAAGGTCGAATAGTGTGTTTTCTTTAGATCGATAGTTTATTTTTTTGAAAATTTTAGTAGTCTCATCATCCTTCTCGCTATTTTTAGACACTTATAGAAGCACAAGAAATGGCTGTTAAAGAACATAATATAGAATATAAATCAAATTTATGGGTTTGTGAGTATTTGTCAACATGACATCTTCCTCTTACAAAAATTAATTTGTTGTTTTTCAGCTCAATCATACGTTAAACGGGCGTTAATTGTCAAAGGATTACGTCGTCGTCCCAAATATCAATTTGCCGTGCTACATTATCGGTACTTTCATTATATGGTACGTTTAGAAGAAGGACCACCACCAGAACAATTTTATCCAGCCAAATATCCCGAACTTAATGAACGTTTAGAAAAACGATTAGACGAATTGAACAGTCGAAAAATAGTTGGATCTATTTCCTGAGAAATGAATTTTTATTTTGTTATTGTTTTTTTTCATCTGTTACTTAACGTTTTCTGCTGTATATTATCGCTGTTTTCTTATAAAAAAGAATTCAACTGTTGCACTCTTTCCTTTTCAACAAAGAATTTTAGAAAGAATAAAGAAAAAGAAAATTGAATAAATTTGCGTTTAGTTCACTTAATTGAAAAATTAAGAAAGTTTTTTATGATAGTCGCGTGATAGATTTTTAATCACTGCAACATGCTGTTGTTCATTTTACTTTGCTGTTGGAATATTTCTATCCATATTACAGATGTTTAAGGAATTTTTTTGAATGGCCTTTCGTTTATTTACGTCTTGTTGTCGAAATGGAAACAGTTCCTTGTTTCTTTATACCACAAAATATATTTTTTCACCATCTCCATCGTCTCATTTACTGGCATTGAGAAAATGTGTTTATTCATCGTTGATTAAACCACAAAAATCCGTACCAAAAAATCTTCTTTCTTTATTACGCAAATTTTCATTATCACACATCAATAGACGTCGTCCAAATTCATTATTATTGAGTGAAAAAAAGAAACCAACTACAAAAGCATCATTTTCTGATCTAAAACGTTTATTACGTTTGGCTGTTAATGAAAAAGGGCGTATATTATTTGCTATTGTTTTATTATGTATTTCAAGTGGTGTGACAATGTGTGTGCCATATTTTCTTGGTAAAATTATTGATATGTTACAAACATATAAAGGTTCTGAATTGAAACGACGTTTAAAACAAATTAGTTTTGCATTGGTTTGTATATTTCTAATTGGAGCAATATGTAACTACGGAAGAATATATTTAATATTATCAACATCACAACGAATTATTAAACGTTTAAGAGAACAATTGTTCGAATCAATACTCAGGAAAGAAATGGCATTTTTTGATAAAAATAAAACAGGAGAACTAGTCAATAGACTAAGCTCAGGTATGACACATTTATTTTGATTTTTTTAAATACGATTATTCTATGTGCTTCGCTGATTGATCAGACTCTCTGTGAATAATTTTAAAATATTGTTCGTTCAGTTTATCAGATTAAAAGGTTATTTTAATTAATTTTTTTGTTAATAGATACCGAAGTAATGGCAAATTCAATCACACAAAATATTTCAGACGGCTTGAGAGCTACAACACAAGCAATAGCAGGCGTTGGTCTTATGTTTTATATATCACCACAATTAGCATTTGTTGGCATGTCTACCATACCACCAGTGGCATTAGGAGCGATTATGTTTGGAAGATATGTTAAACGCATTTCAACAAAAGTTCAAACAGCTCTTGGTATATTAAAATAGATATTCTTTATTACTAAAGACATTTTATCGATGAAATCTTTTTGTTGCAGCGCATGCCACTGATGTCGCAGAAGAAAGATTTGCAAACATTAGAACAGGTAATTATGGCACTAATTTATATGAAGAAAATTTATCTATTCGAAAACTCTTATCGCGACAAGTTATTATATGAACTCGATCCAGTCGTATAGTCTAGATTTAATGTACACTACATACATTAGTGTTGGGTTTTCGTATTCTTTGAGCGAATATTTTAACTGATCATTTTTCTTTTTATGCTGTTTAGTAAAGGCATTTTCGCAAGAAATGAAAGAAATCCGTCTGTACAACAAAAAGATTGGAGACGTCCTAGAATTAAAGTTCAAAGAAAGTTTGGCATATGCTTTATTTTACGGTAAAGTTCGATTTATATTTCGGAACTTAGTGTTTTTAATTTACTTTCATTCGTATTTAGGTATGACTGGATTAAGTGGAAATTGTATTGTGCTCACTGTATTCTATTTTGGTGGAATGCAAATGAGTGAAAACAATTTAACAATTGGAGATCTTTCAGCATTTCTATTATATGCATTTTGGTTAAGTATCTCAACAGGATCAAATCTTCAGAAGAAAGCGGCATTCTGCTCCATTCTCTCTAAGAAATATTATTTGTTGACATTGTAGGTTGGTGTGTCTATATCCGGATTATTTTCATTCCATTTGGAATTAATGCGCGGTATCGGTGCAAGGTTAGAAATGTTGCTACAGTAATACATACAAATGATTCTAGTTTCTATTATTTAGTCAAGCTGTATGGGGTTTATTGACGGAAGAAAATAGCGAACTTATTCAACCAATTACAACGGCACCAACATTTATGCGTGATTTATTTCTCAAAGATATACTATTTGATAACATCACTTTTGCATATCCAACACGACCAGATGTAAAAGTAATTGAAAATTTAACTTTAAAAGTACCTGGTGGTAAAATATTAGCTATCGTCGGTAGTTCAGGGTCCGGCAAGTCAACGTTATCTCAGTTACTTCTTCGATTTTATAAGCCACAAGAAGGCAATATTTTTATTGGTGAAACGAATATTCAAGATATTTCATTAGATTTTCTACGACAAAATATTGGAAGTGTACCACAAGAGCCTGTTCTCTTTTCATCGTCAATTAGAGATAATATTGCCTATGGCATCGAACAAACGGATTCTATACCAATAGAACAAATATATAATGCGGCTGATCGTGCGAATGCATTTAGTTTTATTGAAACATTTCCAGACAAATATGAGACAAAAGTCGGTGAAAGAGGAACAATGATTTCTGGAGGACAAAAGCAGCGAATAGCTTTAGCACGAGGTAAGAGATTGTATGGATAATCTGTTGATTATATTAATTTATTTTGATCTATTTAGCTATACTCAGGGATCCAAATGTATTGTTACTTGACGAGGCAACTTCAGCACTAGTGAGTGAAAATAAACTTCTTGTCAAACAAACAAAGCTACTTATTATCTATGTCCAATTCCCACCGATAACTTACCGCAGAGTATTTTGCTTTTCTTCAATATTTTTATGATTATCTTTTTTGTTTAGGATGCTGCCTCTGAATATCTTGTTCAAGAAGCTTTAGAAACCATAATGGAAAATCGTACTGTAATAATAATTGCTCATCGTTTGAGTACAATTAAAAATGCTGATTATATCGCCGTAGTTGACAAAGGTAAAATTGGTGAATTAGGTTCATATAGTGAATTAATGAATATTGAAAATGGTTTATTCAAAAAATTAGTTGAAACGCAAACAATGGTTGACACTGATTATTCTGTTGAAGGATAAAGACTTTACTATTTTGTCTACATAGTAAATTTTATTTAAATTGTTAAACGTGAAAACGTTGTGAGAATAAGTAAAATGCGCTTCTGATTTATCTCACATTATGGACTACTATGAAAATGTTGTCCTCTGTTATTGACAGTTGTATTTTTGTTACAAGAACTCTCATATCAAAAAGACACACAGAACACTTTTAGTCGTTATGGTTTTCAGCTTTTCTCCTTACCGTGGTTTTTTAGTCATATGATTCGTGTTTTTGAAGACGTTCTCTATTAAAGATATTAAATTAAATGTATTTTTTAATACATTATTGTTAGTAAAAGTGTTAAAAATTGGTTTTCATTTCTTTTTTAGTACGTGTTCGAAGGATATGAATATATCGCGGAGAAAGAGATTCCTACAGTAGTGCTGAATATTCAAAATAAACTTATCAATATCAAGAATAATTGGCTATAGATCGCGTTATCATTTCATTTTTAAAAGTATCCTTCCTTATTTTCTGTCCTTCGAAATGGCCCACTTTGACGATTTTCTAAAATCAGTTTTCTGATTAAAATGTTCAATTATGAAATTTTATTATGGAATTCCTCGAAAACATATTGTAACCTAGATCTATATGATATCAGAATATTTTGTTTTAGATCAAATGTCTTGTTCAACGATCACTAATTCAAACACTAAATGGTAGCACCCATATTGGGTCGAGTATTGTTGTTTTGCACACTGTTCACTGTCAATTATCTTTTTTTGTCTATAATATATGGATGAGTATAGGAGAATGTTTTTGATAATTAGAATATGAACAGTTAGTAGACGATGGAAAAAATAAATTTGCAATCGGCTGAATTCAATCAAAAACATCATTGTACTTTGCATGGTAGTGTTGACTAATAGAAATTAAATATGATTAAATATGCGTCTCGAGAAGAAAATTGAAATTAAACGTTTGTATTAAAAATTGAAAGATAAATTTGTTACATCACACGGAAAATGAACAAATAAAACTATTTTTTGAAAATATAATAATATCAGAATTGAATAAACTGAATAAGCAGAAATAGACTACGTTAAAATAAATTGTAGAATTGAAACAATTGAAAAATGTAAATAAACCATTAGATGGAGTAAGACAATCTAAATTGTGGTGTAATAAATTTATTCAATGCAATTTGTGATCTCTTCAGAGATATGTATAGATAAATTTCCAAAAAAATTGTATTACAGATGGTATAAGAAATCAGAAGCTCTCGTTAACCATACGAAGTTATGACTGATTATTTCGACTGACGAGGGAGTCCTAAATGTCTATTAGAATAGACATTTAGGACAAATTTTCAGTCTTTCATATCGTGTTTGCAGTGAGTTACGAATTTTTCAATGTTTTATGTAATGTGCTGCATTGGCAAAATAGAAAAATTCATAACTTTTGAATGAAACAATAGTGGTCCAAATCCTTTTAGAGTTTTTTCTAGGCCACTATATAGGATCTATGGGCAAAAGATCCTTGAAATCGGAGGTTGACATCTGAAAAGTTCCCTCGTGAGTTAAACAATTTCTTTTTAGTATAATCTACTTTGAAAGTAAATAGAGTGGATTTTAGACTGGATATTTACTCTGTTGTATGCAACATGAAACGGATATTTTAGAACCGTTTGAACTGTGAAGAACAAGACATTAAACTGTCTGTTAGTCTCAATGAACAAAAAAATATTTGACAAAGTCTATGAATTGAGAACGGGAGAATAATTTTGTTCATGATTTAACGGCTATTTGACTACCTTGAGCATGACGGTGGCTTTCTGTCCACAATGATTTTTAACGATTAGCGAGAGCTGGAAAAAAAATACAGAATTCTTGTGAAAAGAACCTAAACAAAAAAATAAAAGATACAATTGGTAGAATTTCTGTGCATAAAGATACTCAGCAAATATACAAAAAGATTTATAGCTATGATACAGAACTCTTGAGATTTTGAACCGATCGAAGTTTCTTTCAATCTCTTAGTTAAACTAAAATTGTGATGCTATTTATATATTTTTTAAGATAATTCACCCATTTGTTTCGATTAAATATGACAACAGAAAATAATGCACCTGAGGTACAGAATCAATTACAAGCTATACTTCAGCTCAATAATACAATAAATGAATTGTTCTCTTTTAGTCAATTGAATCATCATTAATTAATAAACATGCTCGACTAAAAAGCTATATCAATGAACAGTTAATAATGGCCGATGATATTATGTATGTGTCAATACTTTTACATTATATTCTTATTTTTAAAAAAATTATATATACTTTTGTTTTTAGTGGATTACTTGAAAATTATTACAAATGTGAAAAATTTAATTGTGAGGTAAGATTTTATTATTAAAAATACATTATTATGACACTCTTTAGGTGAAAAGTCAAATAATATAATATATATAACCCGTATATTAAGTGTGAATATTAACGTGTGGATTGTGATGCTACTATAACCTGCTTATTTTTTTAGAAAATGAAAGCAACCGTTTCAAAATCGCTTGAACATATTCAAAGCATGTCCTTTTTTCCTAAAAGGTAGTTTTTTTTTTCTGTGCGCAAATAATAATTTTAGCTTCTATTACAGCTTCGTGTTTTCTATTATTTGAATTTTGCTTTTTTGCATATATTGATTTCAGTTCCAAATATTTTTATATTTCTAATATTTTTCGTATTATACTTCTAGTATAATTGGTGATGAATGGGAGCGAGGTGTCCAAGAATTATCTCAACATTATGATCAACGTCTTACAATGTATCCGTTACTAAAAAATATTGAAAAAAATTTAAAAAAAATTAGAAGTGAAAAAGCTGATGAATTTAATAAGGTAAAATTGAATAAATTTAACTCTTAAATATTTGAATTTGTGACTACTGAGAAGTATAGCGTTTGAATTGACTTATCAAACTATTCGAAATAGTTTTTCACTCTAATATAAAACAATACATTTTAAACGGTTTCTATCATAAATTTTAATGACTACATTTTAGACTCAAATGTATCATGAAGAAATTATGAAAGAATTGTTTTCTGTTGAACGAAAAGTGAAAGAATCACTTAAAATATATGATGAAGCTTATCAACGATGGCAACAACAAATTCTTAAATCACAGCAAGAGACAACGAAAGAAAAAGATACGTTAACCAAACGTTTAACACAAAAAGTATTGCCTAAAACTGAAATTGAAACATTAGAAACAAATGTTATCGATACGCGAAATGTTTATCTTCTATATTCAATGTTAATCAATTATGCATTACAAGATTATTATCTTAAACAATTTGTAGTTGATCTCGATAAAGTAAGAACTTCTTTTTTATTTTTTATTCTACACATAAAATTTCACTCATTCTCTATTTTAGCTACTTGTCTGTGATTTATTTCCACAAATACAAATTGAATTAAGTGAACTAACATACGCTGAATATAAACTTATGAGTGATACGTTAAATCGATTTATTTCTGTGGCAGTACAAGTAAGCATTCTTATAAAATAGTTTTTGAAATGAATTGTTTATCATTTAAAGAATATTTTCATTTTAGAATGCTAATGAAATGAAGAAAAAACTTTTACCAACATCTATGAGATTGTACGCGTTACAATTAGTTGCTGATGATAAAGTGGTAGAAATGATTATTCAAGAAACTTGTAATAAAAATGTAATTATTTTGTTCTAGATAGACATTATTAATGTTGATGAAAAATATTTAACACATTTATCATCGGCCTATTTAATAGCGTTAAATGAAATCAAAGAAGCAGATAATCAAATTGAAGTTGCTTTAGAAAGTTCAGTGGCACATCAACAAAATAAAGTAGAATAAAAAATAAACAATATATGTAGATTAATCATGTATTATTTCTCTTTATTATTGAAGGATCTTCGAATAGATGTCGGAAAAATTAAACTAAAAAGAATGGAGGTATAACGTATTATATTCATTGTCATTTTGTCTTTTTATTTATTTTATTTTTATAGATGCGTAAAATGATGGCAATGTTTGTAGTGGAAAAATTGGGTATGATTATTCAAAGTTAGTCTATGACTAAAATTATTTTGATCTTTTTCCTAGAATCATTAATTCCAAATATTAAATCGATAACTGCTAAATCAAAACTGGGAAGTTTAAAATCATTTTTAAATACAAAAACAGTGAGTATATTCTAGTCTGTTTAATGAAAGTCAGTTCAATGTTTGTTTCAGGACAGTAATTATTCAGAAAAATTGGATTCTCAATCGGTACCTAATAATGAAATATCTTCATCTCTTGCTGATGGAACAGTAAGGTTTTTTTTACTTTAATTGATGTTAATCTCCAATTTCATGTTCTATTTATTATTTTAGTCTGATCAACCATCTAGTGTTGAACAATCACAAGTACTCACTTATCCGTTCCAAGCTGAAGTTTTATATGATTTTGTAGCCTCTACTGACGAAGAATTAACCGTTCATAAAGATGATAAAATATTTATTTTATCTGAATCACCCTACGATGGATGGCTAATTGCTAAAGCAGGACAAGGTCAATCGGGTTTTGTTCCAACGACATATGTCCAACGTATTGAAACGACTTTCATTACAAAAGGTTTTTGATTATCTTCGATGATAATAATGATCAGTTATCATCTCATTTTTACCATTATAGATCGTTCTTCATTAAGTCCACTAAAGAAAGAGAAACAATCGAAAACAAAAGCTAAATTTAACCTTACTTCGAAAGTGACTCAATTCGGTAAGAAACATGGTTTAAAATCACCTAAAGCAACTACTACAGTATCATCATCAAACGAAAATGGCAACGAAGATAAACAAATGAAACCAATTACAAATTTAGATGATGCTGATGAAGAAGAAGAAAATCGATCTGATTTTTCTGATAGTTAAATATCCAAATGAATATTTTTCTTAATGTTCAATTACAGAATGATAATTTTATATCTTTGTTTAATTGTTTAAAATGTTCTTCTCGATTTATTTTCGACATTTTTATTCCGTCCAGTGTTTTGTTTCTTTTATCGACATCGACAAACTTTTCGAGCCATATTTTTTGTTTCATCATCTTTCATATCTGAGTATTTTGTTGAGATGTTGATTTCTGCTCTTGGTATTGATATCGCATTCATATCTATATTCTATGAAATAATTAAAATTTTTGTTCATCAAAACATTACTCTAAAACAAGTCGTAGCTTGAATGACAGACTACTGAGATTTAACAAAATTGCTGAGACTACAAATGTGTGCATACATTAAATATCATCTCAGTCATCGTCTAATCACTTGAGAACATTTCGAGATACTTTGTAAATATTACATTACGTACAAGAATTTCTTTAGACTTTTTTTTCACATAGCAAAAATGTTGTGTTGCACTGTCTGAACTCTATTGCTTTAATCATTCGTAATTTTTATTAAAGACACGAGACTATCATCATTGCATTATAAAAACTTCACAAGATAAAAGATATTAGTTTTGGATAATTTTGTTTAAAAAATTTAAAAATAGCAAAAATCTTCCATTATTGTTCTCTGTTAAACTATTTTGTTTGAATGCTTTTCGAATATTCCATAAAAACTGTATTAATAACACTTTGTTTTTTATGCACGTGCATGTAACTGTCTATATATCGTAATCTATAATTTTTTTCTTCTCTTGCATATTTTTTATAATGATAAACGGTTTTATTTTATTTTTGTATTGCCGATTAGATGCATAGAATCTATTCTTGTACACGAGCACCCGTTGTTTGAAAATTTTTTGAAAAATATGAAAAATATTCAGAATATTTTTGTAATTCGGTAATTTTTTAGCTTTTTTTTTATATGAAATTCCTATTCTCATCTATCATCGAAACACTGTATCTTCTGCTTTCGTTAATTAGTTCACTTGTCAAGAACGAATTGTGCCTCATCAGTATATTTTGTACTTCTGTTGCTGATTTATATGCTTTACTTTTACAACTGTCTGTTTATAGTTGCCAGGATAACTGCTTTTAGAAATAAAAAGAGAACGGAACTACTTTGAAAGTGAGCCAGATCAAGAAGCGAAAATATCATGAAATATTCAATCAATTCCTAGCTCTCTCTATGAAATTATTCGTTTCATCGGAGAGGTACAGTACATACAGAGTAATTAATTTAAGTTATAAATTATTTAGAAGATTAGCTTAAATATCAGAGCTCATAATAGTTAATTGACGTTCTTAGTGTACACGAGCCAACTATTAACAACTTAAATTTGCAGCAAAAGTTTCTTAGATTTAAATATTTCAAAACAAAGAGCATGTTTGATTTATTTATTTTTATTGTATAGCAGATATGTTTGTTCTTCAGAAAAAAGTGATACTTCAAAAAGTGATACTTCCATCGTTTAGAATATTGACAGACGAATATTAGGGATTTATCAATGTATAGAAAATTTAATGAATATTTTGTTTTATAGATTCGATGATCATATTGTGTCTTGTAGTAACTTTTAGGGTACTCCTTTAGTAAGCGGTCCCTAGTAAATGTACTTGAGACCACGAATTTAGTTACTTGCAAATATTCAGAAGTACTTGGTGGGGGATTTGTCAGGTGTTTCTAGATTTAATACGGACCAGATACTTGAAAAAAATAATCGGATACTTCCATAGATTTCACTAGTATTTATATGCACTGGTATTTACTGGTTGCACTTTCATGCTGTTTTCACAAAAAGCTTTTTGTAACGCAAAATAATCTTCTAGTATTTTCACTACTAGATTTTGTAGAGCAAACATTTCTCTACGAAATGAGGTAGGTATAACGGTACTTTTCGTCTTGATTCTGTAGTGAGATATGAAATGCTTACTCAACATTTCACGATCGGTGCTTGATGCCGGTTTATGACTCTTTGTCAAGAAGCGATTACGGCAAAAAGAAAAGACATGAAGAGTTCCGTCATGTCTTCTTCTGTAGAAAAATGGCTCGACAAAACTAAGTTGTCATCGAAAACGTTTAATATATTGTGCTTTGTAATCAAAATGATTGAGAAACAAGGCAAACTATACTGATAAATACAGGTGCATGCCTAGTGCTTACCAAATTACCTATCAAATACTTGATGAATTAATTCCTTATCAAGTACCTGTATTTGCTAAATCACTTAATAAATACCTTTTTACTTGTAAAAACATTCAAAATATTCTAGACATTACTTCTCCAAACACTGGCCTGAGTACTTGGTCTCAAACAGATTCAAAATGGGTTGTTGGTTTCCTAAGAACGCGGTAACATTACAGTTGGTATGTTCCATATAGATGTAGTGTCCCCTGAAGAAGAGAAAAACAAATACAGCTCGCATTGTACTTAATGTGATAATGACATTAGGAATTAAATATCAATGAGCGATAAGAGAACACTAGCTATAATGCCACTGGGAGAACATCATCTATAATCTTACGATATTTTTAGGGGAAATACCTACTAAAGAAATATGCTTTTCAGTATATGTAACATTAATAAAGTTCACAATAAACGCTGCTAGAATTCTAACTAATAGTAAATGTATCTTTATTCCAGATACACATTATGGTATCTATAGTTGATGCTGGAGAGCCATTCGATAATTACAAACCACCGTCATGGGATGAATTTTTCATGCTAAAAGTATATTTAACAGGTATAATAAAGTTATATTGTAGACGTAATGTGACACATTAAATTTCTTTTTCTCGTAGCTTCTAAATCCAAAGATCCAAGGACAAAAATTGGTGCTGTTCTTGTTCGCGATCGACGTGATTTAATATCGGGTACGTGAACTTTTTTATTATTTGATAATAAAACTTTTCATTTTACTCTTAAACGTGCACACAGTGCATTTCAAATTTTAGGTTATAATGGAATTCCGGAAGGCGTTGAAGACCTAGAAGAGCGTTTTAATCGTCCAGAAAAATACTTATATTTTGAACATGCCGAACGAAATGCAATATTCACTGCTGCTAGACATGGGATAACGACACACGGTGCAACACTTTACACACAAGCACTTCCATGTGTCGATTGCGCAAGGTAATTTCTTTTTGAACTGAAACACGTCCAAAGTTGTTTTTGTCAGTCATTACTGTTTTTAGAGCAATTATCCAAAGTGGTATAACAAAAATATATGTTCATGAACAATTCTACAAATTGTGTGAAAAAGTGAAGCGTGACAAATGGTTAGGACACAATGAAATAACAATGAAAATGTTTGAAGAAGCGAATGTGGAGTTAATCATGCTGAATTTAAAATTAAATGTGAAAGCGTATCTGGATGGAAAACAATATACAATCTAAATTAAATTTGAATATTTTCAGTCATACTTTCAATGTAAAATGTATAGAATAGAGCTGTTAAGTCTTTTTTTCGTCTACAGGCGTTGTAATTAGTTGAATACTGTTATCTTAATTCATTCGAACTCATACTGTTTTCGTTCTTAAGCGCACTTTTTACTTTGAAGAAATATGTGCTGTAATTTTTTGTTGCTACATCTAATAATTTAATGTTTTCTTGTAATAAACATTAAGTTTTCTTTTGACGAAGATCTTTTTCTGACTCTTTGAACCAAAAGCATGTGTTTTGTAGTAACTATTAACAGAAACAGTTTCATAACAGATAGAATGACAACAACAAATGAAAAGAATGATGCGATAATAAAACAAATCAGTTTCATAACGACGTTACGAAAGTGATGACACTTATATATATTATTGTTTTATTGCACACTAGCCTGATGATCTAACTAGTATGAAATAATATAGTGGGACTAGAAAACTAAACGGTATATTTGACGAACTTTTATGTCTATTTGTGATGTAAATGTATTCGAGCTAAATAAGATAATTTTGCTGCAAATACTGTAGAATACGCGCATTTGTCTTGCTCATACATCTGACATTTTTGATCGTATCACCGATTTTATATATTTGCGACGACTACATCTGACTGACTATTGTCCATTTCTATAAGATTTTTAGGTGGTGTATTGAGGTTATGTGTTCATACTAGTGAGACAATTCACGACGACATTGTTTTATTATCTGATGAGTTTCACCTTCTGATAAAATGATAAGTCCCGTTTTAAAATGTGTTTAAGGCGAAAACTTGTGCAGTATCGCTACACACTAAACAGTTTAGATGAGCAATGTTCTATTTCATATGATGTTGTACAAGTATTCCCACGCGAAGGTGGGAGTGGACAGATTCCGACTTTACTGCAGTGTCGGACCCATCCTGATCGGGACCGTGTAAACACGGTTGATCCCGATCCGATTCCAAAAATCAGCTTGAAAGAGCTTCGGTACGATGTACCGAACGCCGGCTTTCAAACCGACGAGAACAGATACTACACTTTGATCTTAGCCGAAAAGGCCGAGAAGCGATAACCTTCAACGACATGATGAAGAGTGAATCATGGCTCAGATATGCACAACTAGCACTTTCTCTAGCACAACACTGAACCCCAACACTATCAACAACCCGTAACTAAGCTGAGAATGTGCAGAAAAGAACTGCTTGTGACAATGTTTCTGGCCATCAGTGACAGGCTCAGAACCTTTAAACATTCTTGCGAAGAGTCGTTCGTTTGAACTGCTTGTGATCTCGCAAAGTGTAGTCCACCTATAATCTACATGTCGTAATGTGATCACTCAAAACGAACCGCAACTTCGCGAGATGATGAATCATTTCTTTGCACGTCGTTTGATGTACGTGTTTGTAGAAGAGTGAAAGAAAGAAAAGAACGAGAGAAAAAGTGTTTGTCTACAGATTTTGCCTTTATTTTCCTTCTGCCTCTCATTTCAATTAACCACATAGTTTACTTTTTGCTGGTTTTAGTATTAAAACTTTCAGTTATTAGAAAAAGCACCATCCTTCCCATGAGGGTAATTTTTTTTGAAAACTTGCGATATATCGAGATATTATGCTAAATGTGCTGAAATATCGCGATAATGAGCAACTCTGTCACGATATAAAAGTGAGTGCAGTTTATCGCAGTCTCTCGATGAAAAGCAGTAGGCAAAACTATCGCGGTATACAAGTCATTTAGCGTTGTAAATACCAGTATGTCAATAAACGGGGGATGTCAGAGTTTCTGCAATTCAGTTATTCTATAGAATTCTATAGAATTCTACGTTAGCATAGATATACTTTTTATTGACCAAGTTTGAGTCAAGCGGAAATGTATAGAATTCTAGGTGAGCAACTATGTCTGTACTAACGTAGAATTCTATAGAATTCTATACATTTCCGCTTGACTCAAATTTGGCCAATCTATTGTACATGTGTAGCAAGGTAGAATTCTATAGAATTCTACGTTAGTAGAGATGCATTTATTACTGACCAAGTTTGAGTCAAGCGGAGATGTATAGAATTCTATGGAATTGTACATTAGTACGAACATAGTTGATTAGTGACTCACTATCATGCTCTGCACACCAGTCCCGCCTCGCCCCCACTCCTAGTCAGTAATAGAATTCGGTAGAATTCTATATATTTCCACTTGTCTCCTCCTGACTCGGCTTATATGTGTACTAAGGTAGAATTCTATACAATTCTATAGAATTAGAAGGTAGAATTCTATAGAATGTCTGAAATGTAGGAATTGTTAGGTTATTCCTTTCAGAATCGTTTTGCATCCAATGGTTAATAGCCAAAGAAGAATGTAACTGGTACACATACTTTATTTCAGTAAATTAACATCTAT